GAAAGACCATGTTTGACCACATTTCCAAACACCGAGAAGAGATTTGAAAGTGGCAGAGTATTTTTGGTAAACTTCAAGGAGTTTGGAAATGTGGTCAAACACTGTCCGGAGTGTTTGATAATATCTTCTCAATTGAAACTAAAACTAAGGAGAACACGGAGAATTAAAATTATAAAAATCTATGCTAATAATAATTAAGATCAGATATCTAAACACCATCACAGTCATGAATTCATTTGTTGAATCTTGATGAAGTATTAATGAGTTTTAGAAGGCCCGACATGTTACACAAATGCTGCATGGCATTGTTTCAGAATTTCTTTTTAAGTTTTGTTTTTGCATTTTCTTCTGGAAGGCTTCTCTGGTCATGAAATGCCACCTTCATCAGTGGGATACAATCAGTTACCTTTCACTGGAGTCACTCAAACTTATCAGTCAAGTAAGTATAAAATCTTATTTTCCCACAGTTATTACTAATTGTTTCGGCCAAAACTCTGTATATTGTTTAACTTTTTACACACCCAGTTCCAAGAGTTTGTTGATCTTCACTACCCAGTAGTAAAGGTCACTATCGTCATGTTATGGGTCCTTCACATCATAGAAGCTCTGTGCATGTAAATTTTTCCAGAATTTATTTTCTAAAAGAAAAATAAATGCTATAACATGACGTTTGTCAGTTGAGTGTTAAAGTTTGGTCTTTTTCCCTTTTTAGCAACATCTCATAAATCAAGCATTCCAACTTCCCTCTGCACTTCTTTAAGATGATGAATAATAGTTTGTGCATATTTGGTTGGTCTTGGTTGTGACTTTCTTTACGGTGTTTTCAGACAGCTGAGTACTTCTGCTCATTAAATTCTCAAGCAGACTCTATTCAGGCAAAAGTGTTTATTTAGCTGACATTGTTCCTCGCATGTCTTGACTCCTTTTAAGGAGTTTAAGGTGTTAAAACACCTAAGCTAGTATATATCTGAACTGAACAACTTCAATCTACATTTGAGAATGGAGACAAGATGAAGCCGAAACGTCATGTTGTAACATTTATTTTTCTTTTAAAATGTCTTTCCATCTCTTCTTAATTTTTTAATGTTTTATAAATATTATGTATTTGCATTGCATTTTTTTGGTAAAACTCTATCACGTTTTTATCTATGTACGGAGGCCAAGAGTCTCTCGATCTTCCTTCTATAAGTTCACCATGTTTTAGTGGCCAAACTTTGTATACAGTAACCTTATTGCCTTGTAATTGAAAGTGTTTTACTGAGAAGAAATTTGGCCATGATGTAAATAGATAGATGATGATACATGTAGATGTGCATGTTAGGAAAGAGTTATCTGCTGGCATTTATCTGTATCCCCTGGGGAACAACATTTTAGTTGAGTGATGAAAGCAGCTTAGCCTTCATTACTGTTGTTTTAATGGGATTTCTCATCTTGAAGGCCCTTCTGGTTTTGGCAGACCACCTTTAACAATGGAGTACAATCATATTTTTTATCCTGGTACTACTACTCAGGCTTATGGAGAAGCTAGTTATCATGGAATGCACCCTCAGAGTGAGTAGGAAAATGTATTATTTTTATGCATATGCAAACAATTATGATAAAATGAGAACATGAGGAACATCAAATAGATATAACCATTTAAGGCAGATACTTATTAATAACAACAAACTTAAAGAAACTTAAAAACCTGTCTAGGAAAGTACAAAAATCAGACCAAATCAACTTGGATCGCTGATTTACATCCTGTGGAATAAGAATAGTAACAGTACTATTGCTTATCCCTTGTTTTTGAATACCACACTTTTCACGTTCATGTATTACCTGAACGGTGTCCATTTCAAATATCACAAGTTGGTTTAAAAGCCTTTTAGAATAGCATAGAATAAACTTTATTTATCTACGGTAGTGATTAATGCTGTAGGCTTATGGGACCTTGTAAGCTTTTGATTAAATTTTCTGTCCAGTACATTCCTAGACTCTGTTTTTTAATATTAAAAACTGTTAGTTTTGTTTAATGTTGTTTGTCTCTTATAATCTTTTTTTGGATGCCAAATTTCTCAGCCAGGGTTCTGAGTGTTAGGATATTTAAGAGAATGGCATAAAAGACGATTATAGTTGCTCATTGAAGGGTAAATTACTTGTTTTGTTTTAGGCAGTGGTCTCTCCATGTTTCTCAGAATTCTCAAAGCTGAGTACAATCGACGCTCTCTCTTGAAACCACTCCCTTGGGAGAACACCTTCAAGTTACCTCTTGAGGATGTTTACACAAGACTGTCAATCGTTTCAAGAAGAAAAACGGACTTTCAGCTTGAAAGGGGTGAAGTTAACATGTATGACATCTTCAAGACTCTCGACAAAGGTGAGGATGNAGCTGAAACTCATGTGGATAAATTACTTCACAGACGACTTTTACCATTTTGTTATGTCTTGGCTACATCTCGTCAAGAAAGAGGAATTGTAGTGCGACAGCAGGTTGACTTTGACATTCTTTACCAAATTGAAGGATTTACAGAACAAGATGCTTTTGAGTACATCAGGAAGCATTTCAGTCATTCTGGTTCGAAGAATCTATCAAAGGGAGAAAGGCTTATTGAAGCAATCCAAGAAAATAGTTTTCTTCATGCACTGCCAAACAACCCCTTGAATCTACTTCTTCTCTGCGTTGTTTTTGAGGACTATCAAGGAGAACTGCCGTCTTTTCGCACAGAACTCTATCAGATCATCATCCGATGCCTGTTAAGGAGGTATTGTGCAAAACATAACTTGGAAGCACCTGTTGATGACCAATCCCTGGAGAAACTATTTGAAGATAGTTTACTGGTGTTAGGAGAGTTAGCTTGGTGATGCCTGCTAGAAGATCGGTTTTCTTTTCGTGAAGAAGAACTGGCAAAATTTGAAAGTAAAATTAAAGATCTAGGAGCTCGCAAACTTGGCCTTGTTTTGAAGGAAGCCAGTATGAAGAAGATAAATCCACAGCATGAGTATCACTTTTTTCACAAGACTTTTCAGGAGTACTTGGCCGCAAGATATCTCGCACGCAAGCTCCTAAAAGAAGAATTTAACCTTTTTGTTGATTTAAAGTTGATGCGTTGTGAAATCACTGGCAAATACCGGCAAGTGTTTCTCTTTGTGTCTGGTATCCTGGGCAAGGACGCTAGTGTTTTTTT